AGCCCTGAGACCCTCCCACAGGGCCCCCTATGGCCCCTCCCCATTCCCATGGGCCTCCCCCCACACTCCCTCCCACCTCCAAACATCCCCCTCAAAAATGTTCCCAGATTCCCTATGGCCCCTGCTCCAAGCCCTGAGGCCCCCCCATGGACCTCCCACACCCCCAATCCTGCCATGGTCTCCCCTACTCCACAGCCATGACAATCTCCGGGATGACCCTCCCCAGACTCCCTCACCCCATCCTAGCCCTGAGACTGCCCTGGACCCCCCCCCGCTCCCATGGGCCCCCACAGCCCCAAGCCCCACCCTCCCCATGGTCTCCCACAGTCTTGCAAAGCCCTGAGACAGCCCCTGACTGGCCCCCTCCACCTCCACAGATGCCCTCGGCCCTGAGACTCCCCATGGACCCCTCAGCCCTCTAAGACCCTCCCAGCCTCTCTCTGCTCAGACACCCACTTCCACTCCCTCTGCCCCCCTCCCCAGTGATTTAGGGGCAGCAAGGGGGGGTGGCTGTAGGGGTGCTATGGGGAGGTCCTATATGGGGTGTATACAGTTACCGGGGCAGCAGTGACTGGAGAGGTGCTATATGGGGTGCCAGGGTTGGGAGTGCCACGCTAGGTGCACAGAATTCCTGGGGCAGCAGGGGCTGGGGGTGCTCTAGGGTATGCAGGTATGTGGGGTGCTATAGGGGTGTTACAGGGTGTGGTACAGAGGGTGCTATAGGGGGTGTTACAGAGACTTACAGGGGGTGCTACAGGGGTGTAAGTAGGGGGGAGGAATAGGGGGTGCAGGTAGGGGGGTGCTGTAGGAGTGCTATAGTGAGAGGGGATACTATGGGGTGTTACATGGTGCTATAGGTGTGAAGGTAGGGGAGTGTTACAGGGGGTGCAGGTGGGGGGGCTATAGAGGTTCTACAGGGAGTGAAAGTATGGGGTGATATAGGGGGTACCATGTGGGGTGCAGAAACTCACCAGGGCAGCAGGGGCTGGGGGTGCAGGCCTGGACCTCACGCTGGCGCCGCAGCCCTCTAGCACAGCCCTCCCGGCCTTGGCACATGCGCTGGCGGCGTTGGGCCCCTTCCCCACATGATACTGAGCAGGGACCCCATGGTGACCAGGCCCCCCACACAGCTGGCCTGCGGGCACCACACTCCCCTCAGGGGGGTTTAGAGCCCTCAGGACAGGGGGCCTCCCCCTGGGGTCTCAAAGGGGTGGAGGCCCTTCGGGGGGGGAGCACAGGGTGGGGCAAGCTCTGGGTGGGGTCTCTTGGGGGAAGGATCTCATGGGGGATCGAGGGCCCCTGGGGGGTTTGGGGAGATCCCTCAGGGGGTCCCAGGCTGGAGGGGGCTCTGGCTGGGTCTAGGGCCACAGGGATGGCTCTGTGGGGTGTTTCTGGTGTCCTGGGGGGGTCCCTCAGGGTGTGACATAGGAGGAGCTGTGGGGTTTCCAAGGGCATGGGGCTCAGGGGGAGGCATAGGGATGGGGGTCTCTCAGAAAAGCATCTTGTGGGAGTCCAGGGGGGACTGCATGGGGTCAGGGGTATCTCAGGGGGGTCCTGGACCAGAGGTCCCTTGGGGTCTCAAGGTAGCTTTTGGGGGTCTCAGGGGTGAGGGGGTCCTTTGTGGAGTCCCAGGTGGGCTCTGGGGGTGAGGGTTCGTGGCAGGGGAGGGGTCACTAACCCGCAGGCCTGGCAGGGGGCGTCTGGCTGGGGCAGGGAAAGTGTGGGTGGAGGCAGCAGTCGCCCTCAGCCACCCCCTCACCCAGTAGGTCTCGGCAGGCACCATCCGCAAAGTCTACATAGCACCACCCGATCTGTGCACCTGAGGGAACACAGTTGGGGGTGGTGAAGAGAGAGAGGCATGGGACCCAGGTTCCCTGGGGGGGGCAGAGGGGGGAGGCACATGGGAAACCCAGGTGTCCAGGTGGGCCACTGACATGCAGGGAACCCAGGTGTCTGGCGGGTAGTGGACATACAGGAAAACCAAGCCTCCAGGTGGGCTGTGAGCACACTGAAAACCCAGGCATCTCGGGTAGGGCACAGGCATGCAGAGAACCCAGGTGTCTGGGGATGGGTGAAGGTGGGAGGGTGGTTAACAGACTCCCTGAGAACCAAAGGCGGGGGGACGGACGAACGGACGACATAGACACAGAGAAGCCAGGCTTCAGGGGACACAGAGACAGAGAACCCAGAAGTTGAAGGGATACAAAGAACCCCAGAGTCCAGGTGGACACAGACACAGAGAACCCAGGTGTCCAGAGAACACAGAACCTAGGTGTCTGGAGGGACACACACACAAAACCCAGGCATTCGGGAGACACAGAAACAGAGAACCCAGGAACCAGGAAGGTACCTGCTGGGGGCAGCAGGCCCCAGGCCAGGCAGGCAGCTGTCAGGAGCAGGGGCATGGTCCACGGACCATCCATGGACCCAGATGGACAGACAACAGGCCAACACTGCAGCTACACAGACAACTCCCAAGACAGCCTCTGGGCTGGTCAGGGGAGGGGGAGAAGGGCAATGTGCACCAGCCCCGCCCCACCCAGGACGTCGCCAAGAGCCTGACTCAGCATGATGTGGGAAACTGTTGGTCGAGCATGAAGGGCAACAGTGAAGGGCAGCATGGGGTGACGGGGAGGGCGGGGGTAAGAGGCACCATGGGGTGATGGGTGGGCTGCAGGTGAGGGGCACCACAAGGGGAAGCTGCAGGTTGGGAGTAAGGGGTATTGCAGGGTGGGTGCTATAGGTTGGGAGTGAAGCACCATTGTGGAGTGGGGGCTGTGCCTCAGGAGTGAGGGGCACCACAGAGAAGGCAGCAGATCAGGAGTGAGGGGCACCATTAAGCGGGGGGATGAGGCTTGTGGGTCAGGGGTAAGGGTCACTGTAGGCCTGTGGAAGGGGCTGTAGGTTGGGAGTGCGAAGCACCACGGAGAAGAGCTGCAGGTCAGGAGTGAGGGGCACCACAGATCCAGTGTTGCTAGTCCCAGTGCCCAGGCTGGATAGGGGGTGGTGTGGGGTTGGTTTCAGGGCAGCCCCATGTCTGTCCCTGCCAGGCCCAGGAAGGAGAGGGAAACAGGGATGATTTCCTTGCAAGGGCGAGGCCCGTGGTGGTCCCAAGGAGGAAAGAAAGAGCTGGGAGTGGGGGAAGGGTGGGTGCAGAAATGAGGAAGTTGGTGGCTTCCAAGGAAAAGAAACTTGATCTTGTGGTGCCAGCAGCCGAAGCGGGGGTGGGGGAGTGGGTGAACGGGTCTGACTGGGCCAGGCTGAGAGGTGCCAAGTGGGTTGGTGAGGGAGGGTGAACTGATGTGACTGGGCCAGGCTAGGGTCCAAACTGATGTGACTGGGCCAAGTTGGGAGTGGGCCAAACTGGTCTGACTGGACTGTGCCCTGCCTCCCTTTCTCCCCACAATGGGAGCAATATTAGGGGCAACAGATTTGAGTTTCCATGGCAACAGGACCAGGTCCAAGTTCAGTCTAGTTTAGTGTCCCCACTCAGACCCAAATCTGACCCGGGTGGGGGAGGGGGGGTTGCTGGGGGCTGAACTGGTCAGACTGGGTTGGACTGGGAGCCAAACTGGTCTGACTAGGCCAAGCTGAGAGGACCCCAACTGGTCTGACTGGGCTGTGCCTCCCTTGAACAGGAGCAATGGCAGGGGCATCAGGCTTGAGTTGTCATGGCACCAGGACCAGGCTTGAGTTCAGCCTAGTACCAGACCAGCTGGGCCCAAATCTGGCTGGGGGGATAGGGTCCCTGTGGCTGAGATGGGGTGGGGGCAAGGCCCAGGGGAGTTCCTCACTGACCCCCAGGCCAGGGGGGTTAAATGGTGTGGGGCCTGCCACCTAGTGACATGGGCACTTCTTGGAGGGGGTCTCAAATCTATGTTCAAAGGCCCTGAAGACCCTGGTGTTCTAGGGGACCCCCTGCCCTCTCCCAGCATGAGATTCACTGCCCCCCCCATGAAAAGGGAACAGTGAATGGGGGGTAAATTATGACTCAGTCGTGACCCACAGGTCCCCCTCCAGTGCCCCTCACTCCCAACCCACAGCCCTCCCAAAATCCCATGCAGCCCCTCATACCTGACCCGAAGCCTGCCCCCATAGTCCCACAGAGCCCTGCTCTCAACTCTGTACTGTCCCTTACTCCAGTCCTGAAGCCCTCCCATTCCCCTCAATCTTGACTTGCAGCCCCCCCAGTACCCCTCACATCTGACCCACATCCCCTCCTACTGTCCTTTGTGTTTGACCCCCAGCCCTGCAGTGCCCCTCACTCCTGACCTACAACCCCTCCTCCCAACTCTGTGGTGCCCCTCACTCTGGACCTGCATACCCCTCATAACTCCACTGTGACCCTCACTCCTGACCTGCACCCCCCACTTCCGGTGGTGCCCCTCACTTCCAACTCACAGCCCCCACCAGGGCCCCATGGTGCCCCATCCCAGGGCTACCCCCAGCTGTAAGATTCCAGGTTGGGGGTTTCCCATTCCCAGGCCCTATGATATTACTTTGAGGCCTACAACGTCATTGACTCGCTCCTCCCCTAAATGAAGGCATCAGATTTCATCCCCTTGAAGGTTCCCCACACAGGGTCCTTCCTCAGCAGCTGTGCTGCAGACAATATAGCCCAGGTCTCTGGGCTCCCAGAGCACTCTTCCCATACCCCGCAGCCCCCAAATCCCCTCCCAGAAAACCCAGGAGTATGGGCACCCAGTGCACCCTGCTCTAGGTTCCCCTTAGGCCCTTGGGAAGAGTAGAAAAAGCTGCCCCTAGATGGATGCCTGGGTTCAGCTGCCCATATCTGGAGCTGGGAGAGGGAGGAAGGGGAGGAGCCCTAGAGCTAGAAGAAGGGAGGGTTGGGCAGGGGAACTATATCCTTCCCAGCAGCCATGGGATCCCATGACAATCTTGTTATACAGGTTAACCGCAGAATTTCATGCGTCTACCCCCCCGCCCTGGCTGCATAGCAGCCATATCCTGCTAGCAACCCCTTGGAATTCTCCCTAGCAATATCAACTTTCTCTGGGGCAACCATGGAATTCCCCCTGGCAACCCCATCCTCCTCCCTGGCAACCATGTAGCCCCACCAGTCTCCACAGTAACAGCCTCTTTGTAGCAAGCATGGAGCCCACCATAGCAAATGGCCCATCCATGGTGTTCATGGCAACAACAGATTCCTCCCTAGCAACCTGGTGGCTGTGTTGACTGACTGTGCCCCCATCCCTGGCTCTGTTCCAATGTTGCCACTGATTGTCCCCCCAGACCTACTGCCCCCCGCAGCTGCACTGATACCCCTCAGCCCCTCCCCCCACCCATGCCCACAAATCCACTAGGTTGGAGCTGCAGCCTAGTCTGTTGTCATGGCAATGGAAACCTAACTAGGCCCTGTGCCTGGGTCACACACCTGGTTAAGTGGATATGACACATTTCACACGTATGTTACAGGTCTTCTGCTTCATGACACATGCAATGCTCTGTATCACGTGTTTTACCTCATGGTTTCCATGGGTTGTCTGTCATGTTTTGATCCATTCTGTACACGTTCCATGGATGCTACTCATTATTCACTACGTGCTTCATCCTCCTGGGTTCTGCATGGTTTCTACACGTTTCTGGCAAATCGTTTCCATGCAGTGTGTGTGGTGTGACCCGGTTGCATATACATTACATGCCTTTCTTTACTCACTGTTCCCCATGTGGTTTCTGCTCACTGTTCACATGTGTGCTCCACAGAGAAGTGACATGTTTCTCATGTCCACACATGGGCTCCATGTGTTCTTCAGCTGGGCTCCAAGTGTGTTCTCCTCCCAGAGAACACATGATGTCCCCATGGCTTGGCATATTTGCTCATGGCTTCCTTGTGCTTCAGAATTTGTTGCAGTTGTCTGAGGAAGGGTCTTTTTAACACGTGGCAACATGCATTCACCTTCCAGCTTACATGCGTTTGACCCAAGCTTTCCACATGGCTTCATGTTCAACTCATGACACACACATGTTAACCCATGGTTTATTCATGGCTTCCACGTTATACCCACAACTGACATGGGTTTTAACCACAGCCCATGTGTTGAACCCATGTGTTACACACAGCTCACGCGTGTTTGACACGTTTTCCTCACAAATCACACACATTCCCCATGGTTTAACCATGGCTTACATGTTAAACCCACAATGGACATGGGTTTAACCCACAGTTTATACATGGCTTACATGTATACATGGCCTCACGGCTCTCACACAATTTACACATCTTACTCAAGCTTCATGCCCACAGTTGACACACAGCTCAGGTGTGTGCTTCACCCATCCCTCACATGTGTTTGACATGTTTCCCAATTGATATGCATTTTGCCCATAGTGTATACACAGATCATGTGTGTTTTACAACACAGTTCGCATGTGTTTTACCCATGATTCACATGCATTGTACCCACAACTTATATATGGCTCACACATGATACCCCCACTTCACAAACATTTTCCTTACCCCTCACATGTCTGCCTCATATTTTCCTCACAGTTGACAAAGCAGGTAGGCTCAAATGTATTTTACTCACATGTATCATGTCCATGATTGCTACACAGATCTTACCCGCACCTCACACGGGTGGGCCATGCAGTCCCCCTCCCCCCCTGGCTTAACATGTCCATCACCCACGGGTCAGATGCACTTTACCATGTCCTGTCCGCAGCTGACACATAGTTCCCATGCAGGGAGAAAGCTCCCCTCCCATGCCTTACCCATGGACTGTCTCAGCCCAGCACCACGCATGTACCTCCCCCCCTTCCCCTCCATTTCTCCTTGTGACTCTTGGGCACACATGTGACCCTTGGGAACACATATGACCCCCCCCCCCCCCCACCGCCCCCACACCCCACCCCCCCCCCCCCCCAAAGTGCTTGATGCATCAGAAAAGAAGAAACAAAGCCCCCATGGGGCAGTGCAAAGTTTCTTATGACTGAAAAATACCTTTCTCTGCTCCCCCCAACTTACCCTGGGGTAAGACACCCCCAGCCAGTGGCTGGGTTAATCCGGGCTAAGCTCCACCCCCCTTGTTAAAAAATAGATGGATATTATATCATATAAAAGCCCAAAAAAGTCAGGCAGCCAGCAGCTGCCTAAGGGGCTGGGTCTTCAAGGACCCCCACCCCACAATAAAAAGGACTCTGGGAACAGGCAGCAATAAATAAAGGGTTTCCAGCCCCTTCCCAGGACAGGTCTAGCACAGAAAGGAGACCGCGAAAGGGTGACAGAGCAACACACGTGCAGCTCCGGGTGACTCTGGGTTGAGAACACAGATTATAATCTCTCCACTCTACCCAAGACAGGTGTGGGGTCCTGAAGCCGGCAGGGCCACGGTGCCAGGAGGGGACGGAGGCTTTCAAAGCAGGGAGATTTTCCTCCTTAAAATGGAGAAGAAAAAGTAGTAGGACAGAAGAAAGAGGGGGAAAGCAGCAAGACCAGAAAAAAGAAATGCTGGCGTTACCGACCTCAAGAGAAAACGAAAGAAATTGAAGTCAAAGCCTGTCCCCATAAAGGGCCCAGATGCCTTCAAAGTGAAAGGGAAAAGATCAAGCAACTTGGATTGAGAAAAGGAGAGATAGCGGGAAGTTTCTCTTCAAAATGAGAAAACATAGCATATTGAAAAGGGAAGCTAAAGGCATTGGAGGCAGATTCGCAGCTGGCAGGCTGAGACACCCAGCGAAGAGCCTGAGGACAAGTAGTGGGGACCAAAAGACATCCCAAGAGCCATGTGAAGGTGGTGAAAGTGATTCCCAGAGAGGCTGGAAAAAGGCTGATGCTTTGGTTAGCCGCATCCCTGACCATTGCTGGAAAGGCAGAAGGAGCTCCTGGTCTGGTGGGAGCTGTGAAGAAAGCCTCAGCATGTCTGCCGGAGGAAAAGAAAAGCCTGAATGACACCTACCCAAGAGTTGTGAAAGTCAGCCAAGGCAAATTCTTCCCCACTAATCCTCATGTATTATAAATCTTGCAGTCTCAGGGCAATCCTGGGAGGCTGTAAGGGGGAAGGAGAAAAGGCAAAACTTCCTCTTTTGTGAGGGCAGGACTTCCTCATTTGACATTTCTGTGGTGACAGAAAGCATTGCCCTAAACCGCAGGCAGGGGACAATGTGGGGGAAACAAAGCAAGACTTCCTCTTTCACCATTACCACAGCAATGAAGCAAGTGGGAATCACGAGAGTCCTTGAAAGGCAGGACTTCTGCCTCAGCTGTTTCTCCAGTAACAGACAGGAAGCCAGTAACAGGGACCCAAGCTCTAAAAGGTGCCAGGAGGCAAGAGGTGGGGCTGGAGGGGGCAGGATTTCCTGGTGGGCCATCTCCATGGTAACAACTGATTGTCAAGAAATAAATCAACAAAACCACTGGCACAGAGGTCCCCTTGCAATAAAAAGGGGTGGGGCTTCCTCCTCCACGGTTTCTATAGCGACAAGCAGGGAAGAGAAAGTTTCCATGGTGACCTCCAGGAATAAAAAAAAGTAAGAGGAGGTGGGACTTCCACCCTGACAACTTCTGACCCCCCAGGAAGGAAATCAAGGGACAAAATAGGGAGGTCTGGATGTCTCCATCTGCTGTAAACACAGCAATGGACAGGGGCACAAAGAAACATGGCAGGCGCCCCTGCCCCCAACATGGCTGATGCTAATGCTATGTAGCCTCTCCAGTCAAGGGTGGCCCATGACCTGCCCACCCAAAATAAACAGTTGATAGCGATGCCAGCCAAAACAAATATGACCGACACACCCTCCTGAAGCCAAAACAAAACATGACCAACCTGGCCCTAGCCAAAACAAACATGGCTGATACCCCCTCCAAAGCCAAAACAAACATGGCTGACATGCTGCTGCACATCTGACCCAGCCAAAACAAACATGGCCAACAGGTCCCTCTCCCCAGACACACATCAAAAAAACATGGCCGCCACACACAACGGCCAGCCATAATAAATATGGCTTATGTCAATGCTGACCATAAACATAGCTGACATCTTCCCCAGCCAAAACAAATATGGCTGATGCTCCCCCCCCCCCAAGCCAAAACAAACATGGCCAACACCTTACAAAGTCAAAACAAACATGGTCAACACCATCCCTCAAGCCAAAAAAAACACGGCCGAGGCCACCACCCAAAGCAAACAAAGCCAATACCCTTCAAAGCCAAAATAAACATGGCTGACCTCTTCCCAAAACCAAAAATCATGGCCAATAGCAATGTCAGCCAAAACAAATATGGCCACTGCAGCGTTGAGCCATGACCAACGTGGCTGCCACCAATACCAGCCCAAATCAACGTGACTAACAAGGGGCCAGCCTGAAAATTTCGACCAAAACCAACATGGCCAACAATCCCCCTCTCCCCTTGACCCTGGCTGAACAAATATGGCTGTGATTCCATCCCCTCCAACCCCAACCCCTGCCAAACCAAAACCAAGATGGCTGACAGGTCGAATCCGGTCATGATAAAAATGGTCAATGCCCCACTAAAATCCTCCCCCTACCCTCAAATATTGAGCTAAAGATGGCCAATACTTTGGCTTTCATCAAGTCAGAAGGGCCACCCTAGCCATGTCCAAAGCAAGATGGCTGCATCAGCCTTGGCAAAACCAAAATGGCCACCACTCTGGCCATTTCTGAACCAAAATGGCAGCCTCAGTCTGGTTCGAACCAAAATGACTACCATCTTGGCCATGTCCAAACAAAGATGGCTGCCATTGCTACTCCCTGCACCCTCAAAAACAAAGATGGCTGCCTAGCAGCCAGGCCAATTGCGGGTGACAGGGCTAGGAGAGCCCCTGAAACCAGCCCCCTCCCCACATGTAAACACCCAGGGGCCCCCTAACAGGGCTCCAAGGGGAGGACATTTCCCATCGCTGTGAAAAATAGACCCCTTCTCCCAAAGAGGGGAGTCCCAGAGGCCCCCCCAAAAATGGAAGGGGTGGACCCTGAGGCAGTAGTGGAGCGCCTTGAGGAAGCAGATCTGGTGGATGGATATGTGGACGGATGTCGGTGTCATGGCTTCTGAGGCCCGGGCGAGAGGACGACAGGAGTGGAGAGGCCGTCCACGCTGAGGGACGGGGTGGGTGCCGAGGCCCCTGCACTGGTTGGGAACTGTTGAGGGAAGGGGTTCAGCCAATGGCCGTCACTCCCGACCCGCAGCCCCACCATACCTCTGTGGTGTCCCTCACTCCCAACCCACAGCTTCCCCATAGCCCCATGCCACCCTTCGTTCCTGACCTGCACCCCACACCATCCCCTCAGTGGTGCCACTCACCACTCCTGACCCATAGCCCCACCATTTACCCATGGTGCCCCTCACTCCCGACCCGCAGCCCACCTGGAAGCTCAGCCTGGCCGGGCTCCGTGGCGCGATGGGGCTCAGGGTGCTCCAGAAGTGGATGGTCGGAGGCAGGGAGCTTGGGGTCAGCAGCACCGGGGTCTGCAGGGGAAGAGGGGTCAGGCTCTGCCCAGCTCAGCCCCATGCCCTGGCTTCCAGCTCTACCCATCAGACCCCACACTAGCCCTGCCCCTCCGACCCACATAAGCCCTCCCCATGCCAGCCAGAGCCCCACCCTGTGATTTCCATGGCTCTGCCTAACCTGTCACTGCCACACCCAGCTCCTCTCTGGCTCTACCCTCATCTTCAGGCCACACCCCTATCTCTGGCTCCACTCTCCCCTCCTTGACGCCACCCACCCCTTCTGGCCCTGCCTTCCCCTCTCTGGCCCCACCCATTGTCTCACCCTGAACCCATTAGGCTCCACCCACCCCTTCCCAGCTATGCTCATCCATCCTTGCAGTCCAACCCCCAGCCTCCCCTCTCTGGCTCAATCCGCTGCTCTTTGGCCCCACCCACGCCATGCAGGCCTTGGCCCCCAATCTTCTCCTTCCTGTATTTGGCCCCACCCCCTCTCCAGTCAGGCTCCATTCACTCCCCGGCTCACCAAGGTGTGTCCAGAGAGAGCAGGGCTGGGAGTGAGGGCAGGGCCAGCCCCCCCAGGTGCCAGCAGAGCCCCACTGCCCCCCTTGTCCTGCCCTGGCAGCTCCAGGTCCCGAGGCTTCCGGCCCTTGGGGGGCTGTCCCTCAGCAGGGGTGGAGACAGGGCCAGGTTCAGGGGGTGGGGCCTCCTCAGGCTCCTCCCCTCCTCGCCCAAGGGGCTCCAGCAGCTCTGGGGGGGCTGTGTGGTCCAGCAGAGCCAGGATAGGCTCTGCCCCCTCGAGCTTGGGCTCCACCTGCCCCAGTTGTAGCGGCTCCTCCAGGGGGCTCTCTAGGGCTGGGGGTGGGGCCACGACCACCTGTGGGGAGAGGGGGATGCAGCCAGCTCAGGAGGGACTTAGACTCCTGGGTTCCTACCGCAGGCCATGATCAGATGCCCGGGCTCCCATCAAGGGCTGGGCCCAGACAACCGAGTTCCCATGTCAGGCTGACCCTGGATGCCTGGATTTCCACAACAGGCTGAGGGAGACACCTGGGCTCCTATCATATGATCAGGGCTGGGACACCTGGGTTCCCACCAGAGGCTGATCCCATACACCTGGGTCCCACCATGTGGTCGGGGCCCAGACACCTGTGTTCCCATTGCAGGGTCAGGGCCTGCAAACCATAGGGTTGTCCCCCTACCCCAACCTCACCTGCAGTTCCAGGGTCTCAGTGACTGTTGCGTCAGGGGCAGGAGGTTCCTCTTCACCCATGGCCGGACGGGCAGGTGGGGGTGGTGCTGAGGTGGGGGTGGTGCCAAGGCGGGCAGGGCCACGGAGCAGGGGTGGGGCCTGCAGCGACTGGAGTGTGAAGGTTGAGTACAACCCCGAGCGCATGTACTCGTTGCGGCTGCTGCGAGGCAGTGGGGTGGAACCAGGGGTGGAGCCAGGGGGCGGCACCTCCCCTGACCCCACCCCCTGGGCCTCCAGCTCCACCCTCCGTAGCCCTGCCCCCTCCTCGGCCCCGCCTCCCTCCAGTTCTGGGAATGAGACGAACTTGTAGACGAACTTCTGGCCGCTGACCTTCCGGATGATGTTCTAGGGGAGTATGGGGAGGGATCAGTACCTGGATGCCTGGGCTCCCACTGCGGGACCAGGGCTTGGACACCTGGGTTCCCAACACAGGGCTGGGACCCAGACACCTGGGTCCCACAGGGTGGGAAGGGACCCTGCCTGGATTCCTGGGTCTCAGGGCAGTATGTTTGGTGGGGGTGGGCCCTGCCTGGCCCAGACACCAGGGTCCCACAGCAGCTTTGAAGGGATGGGGGGGTGCTGAGGCCTTGATCAGATGCCTGGATCTCCCAGCAATTTGGGGTTTGGGGTGGCCTGTCCTGGACACCTGGATCCCACCTTGTCGTAGTAGTAGCGCAGGGCACGGCTAAGCTTGTCATAATTCATGTTGGGCTTGTTCTTGCGCTGCCCCCAGAGTCGGGCGACCTCCTCGGCATCCAGTAGCTTGAACTCCCCATCCGGCGATGTCCAGGCAATGAGGTGCCCAGCACCACGCTGGCCCAGCAGCTGCAGCAGGAACTGCCACAGTGGCACTGATGGGTCCGAGCCTCGGGAGGGG